GGATTAATAAGATGTATCAGAGATTATAAAATCATATTTATTGGTCACCTGTGTGTTTTTTTCTTCAAATAAAAAACAAACAATAAAAATATGTATAGAAAATGAAAGCATGGGGTCTATTTTACTCGTAAAATCAGTATCATAATCATCTGATATAAGTCAACAATTTAGGTTAATTTAAGTCTTAATTATCAGTTATTTGCTAGAAACAATAAAAAAAAGATATACTGTAACATGAGCATTTTTTGCCGAATAAAAGGTATTGTTTATTCCTCAGTATATTGCTATTTAAGGTAGCTGGAGTATTTTAAATGTTTGACGATAGATTTTTCTTAAACTTCTGAAAAAGACTTCTGGGTCAATGTTCTTTCCAATTTTAATATCAAAACCGGGGGTCTCTGATCTTGTTTTTTGTTAAAGTACATTGAAATTAACGAAATCACAGCTATTTTATATGGGTTATATAGAGGAAACTTTATTTTTTCCCATTGAGAAAACATTTAACGGTAGTATTGGTTTAAATTCAATGAGATAATTGCTTTTCATAAATACCACCGAAATATCAAATAAAAATAGTGGGTCACGGGCCTTATTTCTTGAAAAATAAAAAAACACTAATTGTCCTATCAAATTCAATATAATTATCTGCCCTTGGTTTTATAAGGATTTTTTCAGTGGTCATGGGACTCGTTTTCTTGGCTACAAAACAAAATATGTAAATTCATACGTTTATAAATGTTACATCATCCTAGTTATTTCCTCTTATATGGCAAGGTTGAAAAAAATTGTTCCAAACAAAAAATCTATTTTTGAATAAACAAAAACAGTAGTGAAAAATAAGTTAAAACACAATTTTCTAAATTTAAATGAAAAGTCTTACAACTGAATTCCATTTTTTCTCAAGTTTGCACATTTCATAAAAGACCAATAGTTTTCTGCAATTTTACAATCCAAGCTGTCGAAAGACACCCGATCTACCTTAACGGCACTTAATTTGTTGATCATTTTTTTTCTTAAAATTTCAAGTTTTGAATGTTTCTGTTGTACATTGAATGATCCTTGGTAAAATATTTTTAAACCAAAAAATGCATGAAATTTATTTTCTCTTAATATAAAATGAACAGGAATTTAAATCAATATTAGTCAATTATTGTTTTGTTGTTGAAAAATAAATTTTCAATGCCACTCTCTGGAAATGGTCAAATCATTTTTTAATTAATATATATATATATATATATATACTGCACCTTCCTTGGAAGATTCTTATTTCCATCCGTATCAAAATCGTTTATAAAAATAAGATGTAAACAACAATTAAGTGCACCTTCTACGATTGAAATATTAAAAGGATTTTCATCAAAGTTTAGAAAATCTCTGATCTTTGGGCTATAGAATAAACAATATATAGTGAGATTGTGAATATGAAAATAACCTTATAAAACATTCATCTTCAGTTTCATATAATGTTTATTAAAAATCGATAAAAGAAACTAAGTTGTGTTAGAAAAATAGTATACAATGTACTTATGTTTGAACCCAAAATACTCTCAAAACCAACCATTTATAAGTAAATTTAGAAACGAGACAAGCTTGTTTAATCAACAGAAAACAGTGATTATCTTTCTAAACTTGTGCAATAGTAAATACATTGTATCAAGTTGTTTTTGTGCACTACCATATCTGAGAATATGATTTGAAATTGTTCACCCACCTTTTCCAATCTTTCCATCAGTTATTTCGATCATTTTGAGTGTAGTTGATAATATTTTAGTGAAATAATAATGAAAACAACGTTCTGCAATTCATTCCTTGTGTCGTCTGTTTTTCTGATCTTTTATTAGATTTGATTTAAGATTGTCCCTTGGTATCTTCCCTTTACTGTGACTTGACTGTAAGTGTTGCTCTCCACCTATTGACTGTAAGTGTTGCTCTCCACCTATTGACTGTAAGTGTTGCTCTCCACCTTTTATTTACTGTGACTTGACTGTAAGTGTTGCTCTCCACCTTTTATTTACTGTGACTTGACTGTAAGTGTTTTTCTCCACCTTTTATTTACTGTGACTTGACTGTAAGTGTTGCTCTCCACCTTTTATTTACTGTGACTTGACTGTAAGTGTTGCTCTCCACCTTTTATTTACTGTGACTTGACTGTAAGTGTTGCTCTCCACCTTGGTATCTTCTCTTTACTGTGACTTGACTGTAAGTGTTGCTCTCCACCTATTGTAGTTTATTCAAAATTCTGACCAAATTGCAATTTGTTGTATTCAACCAAACTGTTCAACTGGTAACAAATTTAAAGAACTGCTGTAGAAAACAACAGTCAAGTGGTGAAAGTGCAAGGTGATATAAAAAGCATACTTACTTTGGTTTGATAAAACAAATCGCAAATTGGTTTTCCTACACATTCACACAGCTTTGTTGTGGACTGCTCAACCTTATATCTGATAGCCACGATTACTTCAATGGGAGTACATACATTTGTGAAATGACTGTTCTGACATGACAGCATACTGCATACGGCACTGTCATGCTGATTATGTTTACTGGTTTGCAAGATGCTTTGCAGACTGTGAGCCTGGTTTATGACAGTTGTTTTTCATTTGTTCCGTTGATTGATAGCAATTGATTTTGTCAGTTTTTTATGGACCTTCCTTTTTTTAAATTTGCCTAGGAGTTTGGTATTTTTTATAAGATATCTTATACAAATTAAAATATTTAAAATATGTATTAGACATATATTTAACTGTGAATTATATGAGATGTCTTATAAAGAATAGAAGACATCTTATGAAGTATATGCTGAGATATCGTGAACGTTGAATAAATAAAACACAAATACGGTGTGACAGGACTTGAAGAGGGATGCTAACTCTCTGATTTACAACAACTAGCCTTAGACTCCACTCTAATGAGCTGATCTCAAAGAAAACCCATACAAAACGGTAAGTAAGTTGCATCATGTATAAGTTTTTTAAAATTACAGATAAATTGAAAAATGATAACATAGCCGTTCAGATTCCATCTTTGAAAATCAGGCCTTTACTAAAAAAAAAAAACAAAAAAAAACAAAAAAAAAAACCAAAAAACAAATTGCTTTAAAATAGCTTAATATAAGCAAAGCAGAAACCACGAAACACAAAGCACCATTGTGCTTGCCATTTGTGCTGGCATATTGCAAATTTGAATCCTGAATCATATTATCATCAACGGAACATAACCCTTTGAAATTAAAAATTCTGCAAAAAATGTGAAAATTGCAAAAAAAATCCCTATATCAAAAAGGTTAAGACGCTTATTAAAATAACACTTGAAATAGTTTATCTATATTATTTATTGATAAAACTCAATCTAATTAACATATATATATCTCTGATTCTTAATCCCTAAAATGCATTAGTATTATAAAAAATATTATAGATTCTTTATCTACATATTCTTTAAGAACTTAAATAGTTCTCATTAATCTTTTTTTTTTATCTCATTGTTTGTATTGTATTATGAAAATTATTGATGTTGTAATGTTTATGCCCTTTGGGACCCATAATTGGAAATAAAATATCTTCTTCTTCTTCTTCTTCTTCTTCTTCTTCTTCTTCTTCTTCTTCTTCTTCTACTTCTTCTTCTTCTTCTTCTTCTTCTTCTTCTTCTTCTTCTTCTTCTTCTTCTTCTTCTTCTTCTATAGATGAGCATGCGAGTTGCGATAGATCTGAATCTTAATCAGGTTGTTATAAAACTATTACCTTAGACACTCTACCCAAATATTATGCTGGTGTTTTGAGAAAAAAAACAAATCTTTGTGACTTCAACGTTTGCTTTAGGTCAACTTGAGAGGATATTTTCGCAAATAAAAGGGGATGCTCAATAACTTTTCACTGCCAACACTTCCTGAACTGATTAAGTTGATATGACTTAACTTACACAGAACCCGCAGAAAGAAACCCTTATTTATATCAAGTTATTTCCCCTTTTAGTTTTGCAAAGATTTTTACATACATCAAAATTTCAATTTCTTGCTGGAAAACATTATTTTCAGATAGAGCTCTGTTGGACTCCTCCGTGACTTAAAACTTGAGCGCAAAACATATTGAACAAACATAGAGGATCAAACAACACAACAATTCCCAGAATGAACAGCACAGGTCTTCAAAAAAAAAATTATGTTTCAAAAATTAAGTGGTATCGGATGGCAATTACCAGAGTCTGAAAAAGTTGATAATATTTGTACAAGACCATATATATAATTATACAGGTCGACAACATCAGGACTTCTTCATGTACCAAGACCTAATTCTGATTTTTTAAAAGAACATTTAAATATTCTGGTCTCATTACCTGGAATAATTTGCCAAATAATATTAAACAAATAAACAATATAGATACATTTAAGATCACTGAAATGTTCAAACTATTTTTTAACTGTACCGTGACAGAAAGGAGATACCTCAATCTAATGCATTTGTTCTTCTTCTATTGAATGCATATGTGCTTATTCAATATTTAAGCTGCTTTATATAACTGTATTATGTATTATATTTTGTTTTGTTGGTATTTTTTTTCCATTTGTATTAATAGTTTTTGAAGGCCTCATGGAAGATTAACATGTCATTGTTAAATGAGTTACCTTCGTTAAATTTTTTTTTTTATTATTATTATTAATAGCCATGCTATTATATCTATCACTAGACAGATGATACCATCAAAATCTACCATCAACGTCAAATTGTTGGAAAAAGGTAAAACATCAGAAAATCACTGACGAAATTCATTAATTGATCTTAATTATGTCATTAAAAGATAAAATATGATCAATGTCCTCAATTTCGGTCTTGTCCAATATAATACAAATACTTATAATGCAACGGGATACTTTTTGATGTATTGCTACGAGTCGACACAGGAATCAAAAATTAAAATAGCCTTCCCAAGACTTCACATCATGATTCAGGTATATTAGTCCGCAATAAAGACGTTTCATTCTCCGAAATCGTTCCGACTTCTAATCATTCTAACAGGAAGTAAACAATGAAAGACAAATGAACAACTTCATATTTTCTATTTATTTAGTTATTTTACTCTTGATTCATTCGTCATGCGTAATTTCTTCAAACGATAATGTAAATGGTATGAAAATCTTGAATTTAAATATTTTTTTGTTGTCATATACGATTGAGAATTGCCTGGTAGATGAGTCCTTTAATCATGAATAATTCACCAAATAAGTTACTATGTGTCTCACAAATGAGGCATTTTTCCTAGATCCACATTTGATTCTTAAAATTGACCTTAATCAGAAAAATGCAACACCTTTTCCAAAAGATGAATAGTCCTCAATACATACATAAAATTGAGAATTGAAACGGGGAATGTGTCAAAGACTGAAAGAGACAACAATCCGACCAAAGAGCAGAAAACAGCCCAAGGCCACCAATGGGTTTTCAACAAAGCAAGAAAATGATAGAGGCGGGCTTCAGCTGGCCCCTAAACAAAAATGTATACTAGTTTCTTCGAAAATGGATGTCACACTCAACTCTGAAACATATGAATGAACCAAAATTAAAAAAAACATACAAGACTAACAAAGGCCAGAGGTTCCTGACTTGGGAAAGGCACACAAATGCGGCGGGGTTAAACTTGTTTTTTGAGATCTCAACCCTCCCCTATACCTCTAGCCAATGTAGAATAAACAAACACACACGGGTACAAGTCAATCGGCACCTAAATGAAAAGTAAAATCGGTACCTGGTGAACCTTTTTAAAGTCACTTCAGCATTTTGGTTAGTCAATTATAACTTTTATTTTTATTATTTGTGGTATGGAGAGAATAGTTTTTTTGTTTAATTTTATATACATTATACATAATTTTGGGAAAAACTTACAATTTCAGAGGTTAATTAAAAAGATACATTTCGTACATCTTTATAAAAATTCAGCACATGAAATTAAGCAGTTTTAGAATACACAATAAAAAAATAATCAGTTGGTTTGCTGTTTGAAATACTCTCACTATTTTATTAATAATGTTAAAACAAATTCATTCATTGTATTTTTTTTTTATTAATATAAAAGGAATAACATTGGCACCAATTTTGTATGTTTACTAACAATGTGCAGTCGTCATGAAATAGAAGTTCTTTTATAATATAAGTTCCAATAGGAACAGATATTATGACATTGTATATAACAAAGTTTCAATTGGAACTTCTGTTATGCTTGACAAAAATATACTGACAACTGAGTGAAAATATTATTAAAAAAAAATGGAGACATTTGATTTTTATGGGGGAGGGGGGGCTAGGATGAAATTTGAAAAAAAAATAGACAGGACAGGAGTTTTGAGTAAAAAAAAAGGCAGGATGAGACACTTGCAAAAAAAAAAGTCAGGACGACAATTTAGGTAAAAAAAAGTCAGGACCAAATAGAGTGAAAAATAAAAAGGCAGGACAGAGATTACAGCTTAAAAAAAAATGCAGGACAAAATTTTTCGACCTAGCCCCCCATAAAAATCAAATGGTAGCTCCCTTACTTGCAACACATAATGTTAATCATGGGCACTGAAATAACTACCTTGGGTGCCAAATTAACCATGTCCCAATTTGACTAGGTGCCGAATTGACTATACCAGGAGCCAATTTGACCAGATGCCGATTTAACCAGGTGCCAAAGTGACTAGAATTCACACACAGCAATACACACAGTAAAACTCAGTTTAAAGGAAGTCTGAGTCGATGTTAGAATAGGTAACAGAAGAAACTTAAGCAAAATGACAATGATCAACATAAATTAACAAAAGACTACATTTTGTACTAGCAGTTACTGATATGCCAGCTCCAGATTTCAATTAAACTGATTGAAAGATTATGTCTTCATCATATGAAAATCAAGCACAATCCCTCCCATTAGGGGTTTAGTATCATACCATCATAAAATATACCATAAGAACATAACCGGTATCATGCCAACAACTGGTTTTAGAATAAATGTGTTTATCTGATGCAAAGACCCTATGAGTGAATCAATATTAATTCCAAAAGATGCCATCTTTAATGACCTGACAACAGTATTGTAACTATATCCCTTCTGAATAAGTCTGTTTAAAGGTTTGGTTAGCTTTTGAGGTGAATGACGACATTTTTGTGCTTTGTATAGAAAATTACCATAAAAGATGGGATGTGAAATACCTGAACGTAAAAGATGTCTGCATGTTGATTTATATTGAAGAATGATGTCCTTGTACCGATGATAACATTTAGTAAATGTTTTGACAAGTTTGTGATGTTTGATTTCTTTGCCAGATTTATTTTATTGATATTACCTGGGACTATTACGCTAACATATAGATATTACTCCATGACTTTGTTCTTCAATTCACAACAGTGGCATGGTTGTCAGTTTGCAAAGAATTCCGCTTAAACCAGTGCTATGGGCTGTCTAAAACTAGCAGTAAAGTGAGAGTTTTTGCTCTGTGTTGCAGGCCTCACTGTGCTTTGAGATGAAGAACAGCAATAAAAGAGCTGTTCCTTTGCTTTTTGTGTGTTCTTTTTTCTGTACATATACTGATTTTGTGTCATGGATGGATACCCCATATCTTTTCTTTTCTATTACATGCAGCCTTTATTGGGTTTTCAGCTACATGTATTATAGAAGTTTCAATCAACACAATAAGAGCAATAGTTATTTCCCTTCTGTCACCATGTTGAAGGTTTAAGTGTGCAAATTCCTTCATAAATCATTCAAATTGTTGTACTGACCGCTAGACTGTCAAAAAAAGGTTTTTTCTGAAAATTTGTTATTTCTTTAAGCCTTGCTTAATTCATCACTACGATCTAGTTAGGATCCCTTATCAGACTTGCGTGTATTGCATGTTTCAATTTGTTAGTCAAATAAGAAAATCAACCATTTATCCATCCAAAATGGCAGCCAAGGGAAATAACTCAAACTCAAATTACGTCATTTTGAAAATGATCTATTGGGATGTCAAAAATTTACATTCACATCTACTTAGTGTTGGATCAGTGTTCTCCCCAGGCCCTTAAAGGACCGCGGGCCCGCGATGTATAATTTTTTACCGTGGTGGTATCGTTCTTACCGCGATGTATAATTTTTCTCCGTGGTGCTAAAATTTTCAGTTAAAAAATCGTAAATCGGTAAAGTTTGAAACAACTTGTTAAATCTTTTCCGTGCGGTATAAAATTCCAGGTGAAATTTGACCAGTTCAAACCAGTTCAACACAGATTGTTTACACCACGTGATCGATTTACCTTATGAGGTTAACCTTGTTGATTGGATTTAATCGATGTAATTAACACTTGTAACATGATTCTTGTGTGTTTTAATTAAGAGTTCATAACTTTATGATCACAGATAACTATTTTATGGCTTCACTCTCCACCCTAGATGACCTGTGACAAGTCGGCAAATACTTTGTACACAAACAGTGTCTTGACCCGATAGGAACATTTTTTGTACCTCATAATGGTGGCTCATTACGTATAATGGACAACTATACATTTCCCAATTCTTATATTATAGTATTATATGTCTCTGATTAAACCATGGCCAATATTATCTTTAATTATGACATTGTTATTGCATGAAAGTCGGGTTTCAAACTGTCTGTACATATCACATGACCCAGTTAGTTCACATAGAATATTCAAGTTTATTTACAATTAATTGCAATCTATTATATTTTATAAATAAAATGCATGACTGTACCTTCAAACTGGATATCTATATCCATAATTAATGAATAACAGAAGTAATCTTGCAAATTTTATCCATAAGCACATGTTAAATCTATTTATATCTACTTCCTGTCATTTAGGCGGGAAAATAGGGAGACTTAGTTGTTGACATTGAATATGGTTACTTATAGATCTATAGACCAAAGATAAATTTATAGATTTAGGAATTCTTTTTAAATGGTTCATGACAAATAAAGATTTAGATTTTAGGGCAGTATTAAGTCTGTATCTATGTTTGATTATCACCAAAGACAAGGAAGGTTAATATTTACATGAAATCTATGGCAAAATGTTCTAAAATTTATGAAAAATTTCTTTTTATTAAAATCTAAGATAGAAACTGGTTCAAATAATAAAACAATATTTGCAATTGTTCTTGTTAATTTTATATCTTCTTATGACAGGAATCCTTTCACATACAACAACTTTTTTCTAGAAACTAGAAAGTTTTTTAAATTGAACATTTTTGTTCTCTTTTGAATGATATTTTATTTTTATTGATTTTGGATTTTATAAAAGATTTAATTTCTTTAAATTCAGATGAATATTTTATTATGAATCATAATTTATTTATTTTACAAAAATATTAAAGTATACAAACTGTTTTTTTTTATTTACTTCTTTTTTACCAATAATTTTCTGAATCAATGTCTACATAACACAGTACCACAGTGTTAAAACAAAACAAGAGACATGAAAACTACAGTAACTAGAGCTAAGCGATGCGACGCAACACAACTGATTGCATGAAATATTTCACTAAGAAGTCCACACGCGTTACCCTGGTGCTATCCAAAAATCCTGGGGAGAACACTGTGGATTACAAAATAAAAAAAACAATTTTACTTTATGTCAGAGGGAGCTCTTTTAACACACTGATATATACCTCCTACAGTATTGTTTTTTTATTACATTTTGAAAAAGGATTGACACTGATGAAGGCCATTTGTTGTTCAGAAATATTTGTTAATATGATTTCATTACATCATATCTTTCTTTTAATCTAAAATCTTGACATATCATATTTCCTTGATATTTACAATTTATTAATAATAAATAATATATATATATATATATATATATATATATATATATAAACATTTGTCAAATTTTATTTAAAAAAAAAATTATTTGTGAAATAACCAGGTTATTACATGTATCATAACATAATAATTTTTAAAACAAAACCATCTAGGGTCTACCATCATGCATGTATAAACTATATCTTCTTATGCCAATAAATTTGCTTTCACTGCTCTCAAAAGTCACTCTTTAAATCATTGTTCCATGTTTATTTCCTCTTAAATTTAGAAATGTAATGGTATGTGCTGTAGTTAAAAGTACATGTTCAGTAATTTAATGATAGTGTGCAATTTGTAAGCATCATTCATTATCATGATTATTTTCATTACCACTGATCATTACATGACTGATGACTACATGTACCAAGCCTACCAAATTTGCACCTTGAATAATTCAAAAAAAGGAAAAAAAACAACACAAGTGACTAATCAGAAGATGTTTAAGCTAAAATATAAAGCAAATGGTTTTCATTTTTCAAAATATACATTGTAGGTCAAGGGTCAACACCAACTGTTGGCAAAGAAGTAACTTCACCATCTTATGACGTCAACAGTACAACTAGTTCTACAACAACGTCATTAGCTCCAGAGTTTAATGTAAGATGTCCTGACAATGTACAATGTTACAAATTAGGTGGAGAATGTATCAACTGTAAATACAACAAACATTGCTTCTATGGGAAACCTAATGAAACATCGGAATGTCAAGTTAAAGAAGATATTAAGTGTATAGTAAGTAAAGTGCTATCAAATTGAGTAAGTTGATAATCAGTTTTGATGTTGATTATGATTCACTATGAAAAATAGATATTTGGAGTGGATATTACAAAACGTAGTCACTGAAAGGAATAAGTTCAATAAATAGTTCTATTTCACTTTCTTATGTGTCTTTTCATCAACTTGAAACATTTTTATACAACCGCAAAAAATTCGTATATTGGTATCACGTCGTCGTCAGCGTCGTCCGAAGACATTTGGTTTCTGGACAATAACTTTAGTAAATGTGAATAGAAATCTATGAAATTTAAACACAAGGTTTATAACCACAAAAGGAAGGTCGGGATTGATCTTGGGGGTTATAGTCCTAACAGTTTAGGAATTAGGGGCCAAAAAGGGACCCAAATAAGCATTTTTCTAGTTTCCAGACAATAACTTGTGGAACGGTGAATGGATCTCTCTGAAATTATACCACAAGTTTCCATACCACAAGAGATGGTTAGGATTGGCTTTGAGGGTTATGGCTCAAACCGTTTAGGAATTAGGGGCAAAAAAGAGAAAAAAAACAAGACTTTCCTGGTTAATGGACAATTAAAAAAAAGTACAATGTTATGTTTGGATTACCTCCCTTACACTGCTTTTAAATTATGTATAAAGAAATGTTGTATTGTCTTGAGGTGATTAGCTGTCAATTTATTTTTGGAAGTTACTATTGAAAAATGCTGATTAAGGAATATTAATTTTAGCTATGGTTATGTATGTCATTTTTCAATTTTAAGACTCTTATGATGTATTTAAATGGGTAATTATGGTTGCAAACTCCATTGGAAATTTGAATTGAGATTATGACCATATCTTAGGGAAAGATTTTTTTTTTACAAAAAAAAAAGGGGGGGGGGTCAATTTGCAAGCAACAGCATAGTGTATTGTACAAAAGCAAAAAAGAAAGGGGGGGGGGGGGGAAATAGTTTTTTTTTTGGGGGGGGGGGAGGTCAATTCGCAACAGCATAGTGCATTGCACAAAAGCAAAAAATTGAATTTAAATCAAATCATATAACCAATTCTAAGTTCTTTGACTACAGTTATTCTGTGTCAGAAACCTATTATGTGTACATGTCAAATATTTAATAACAATCCAAATTCAGACCTGTATCAAGCGCGAATATTGTGTCCATTTTTGCCCCAACTGTTCAGGGTTGGACCTCTGAGGTCCTATCCAGCTGCACTCGGCAAAGCAATTTATTTTTCTTCAAACTGTAGACTTCCTATTTTCGGGGCCAACTATGGCCCATACCGAGATTACTCCTTTCAGAATCACCAATATCACAATGAAAAAAGATGTTAAACAGTCTAAACTTAAAAGTCCTTTGTGAAGACTGCGGATAATATTCAAATTATTTATTTGGAATGTAGTTTTGTCTTTTCAAAGAGTTTTACAGACAAAGGGGGAAATGTAAGAAACCTTTGATATTTAAAGTATACTGTAGATTGATATCATGAATATTCTATGATCTAGTCTCAATTATTCCATTGTAGGGTCAGAGAAAATTTAATAGGACTCATGAATGTAAATACTGTTACCAGCTGGATAAATCTAATTACTCATGTGATACAACAAATGCCTCGTGTCAAGTTATAAATGGACAAATACAGAAATATATAGCACAATGTACAGTAAAAGACAATGTTTTGTGTCTAGGTAGGTAGAACAAGAAATACAATCTTTAGCCAGACTGAAGTGCCTCATGTCAAGTTATAAATGGACAAATACAGAAATATATAGCACAATGTACAGTAAAGCACAATGTTTTGTATCTAGGTAGGTTATGAACAGATATATCATGTTATGGAGGGGTATTTGTAAAAAATACCAGTTAAGGGACTGTAAAATTTCCCGAGCCGCTAGGCACAAGAAATTAATACAGAAGGAATTTTAAGCATGGTGCAGGATAGCAACTGGAGTCGGTTTCACAAAAAACTTACAACTAAGATTGATCGTAAGTATACTGAATTGTTCATGACTTACGGCAAATCTTAGTCGTAAGTTTTTTTGTGAAACCAACACCTGGAATTGCAGAGATCCAATTTTAATTTAAAAGTGAAGTCTATCATGATGTTGAATTTTCTGCATTGAAGCAAAGCTTATATATTGCTTAGTATAGATCAATATGGTAAAAGAACTTTCTAATACAACAAACCTTTATACTCAATTTAATTTATAAATCTAAGTTAAAGATAAAAAAAAATTTGTGGTGATGCTGAGAAACTCACTGGTGAATGAGTAAAATCATGGGTGGAGGACCTCAACTTAATACATTTATAACTTAATACTCTCTGTTTAATGTACATTAAGTGGTTTCATCAGTCATCTGAATTCAACATCTACATACAGGTAAGACAACAATTAGCATTAAAAGGATTCCAAAGTATATGAACAGAAGGAAGTCACATGGGGTTGGCCTTCTACGATGAGTAGGAGGTCTTTTATCATTTCCTAAAAAATTGTACAAGCATCTCGTATAAGTATCATCATTATTTAGAAAAATATAAAAGTTACCAAAATGGGGCTATTGAAATCATAAATCAATTATTATAATATAAAGACAGTACCATGACTTGTCACTAGAAGAACAAAGACAAATACGCAGCCAACAATCAACAAAATGATAAATAGAAAATCAAAGATTGTGCAATTCAAATCCTGACATTTCTTTGCTTTCTAGGAAGTTAAAAGACACTTGTACTGGTTATTTCATCCTTTCAGCACCTTGATTGGAGTTCAAAATGTGATAATGGCATTATACATTGGGTCTACTAGTATGTAGTAGAGTTTGTCTGTTACTTGCCAAGTCTCTGTTTTACCACAGGCACTCCACTGACCACACACAATTGTTTAAATGTATAGCAATAGATGTTAAGTTCTAGTAAGAAAAAAAAATTATCTATTAGAGATTCATTAATTACCTTATAATGTTAATCAACTAATCTTTAATTTCCTTAGGACAAAGAACATTCCTGAAGAACTTGCCATGTAATTGGACCAGTGGATATAAATGGTCAACAGCACTCATTTTAAGGTACTAGTTAGTTTAAACAATATTTTATTCAAATAAATTGAATTGGATTGGGCAACAGGCAAATCCTATGTGAGCCCTGATATGTTGTAATAGCAGAACTACAAGATGCAGTATCGTATTGGATACAGTTTACTCTCAGTCTCTAACTCAATTGACTCGAAATATCGTAGAAGTCCAAATTTTCCCACAATCCCAAACTTTGTTCTATATTTTTCAACTCCTGATGAGTTGAAATTGAATGAGTCAAATCTTCAGTTGTCTCGAACCAAATTTACATCCCAAGGTTAACAAATCATTTAAATTGCTATAGTTATCTCAAACCAATACACATATGCTAAAACATGACATCAGGGATTTAAAAAAAGAGATTTTTTGACAATACACCATTTCTGGTCATTGACGACTGTATTGATTATGACATTCTTTTCCACGAGTGTTTACCATAGATGATCTTTGATCACTAAAATGAATAATTAATGATACATGATTGTTAGAGATTATGAAAAATTATTTAAAATGTTTTATAATCAATGAATCGTTATTATTTATTATTAAGAATGGTTGTGCATACAGTGAGGATTAAGTCAGCACCATAACTCAAAACTACTAAATCAATGTCTTTAATCTCATATTCTCTAGCGGAAAAAATCAACAACAAAAAAAAGAAAAGGAAAAGAAATCTAAATTTTTCTCAAATCTCTTGTATTTGAGAATGAACAACTTTGTCAACTTAAAATCAAATATATCAAAAGTATTTGTGAAACAGTGTCAAAAATTGTTTTCTCAGCTAAAAACCACAGGAAAAATTGTAACAGTAAAAAGTAACGAGACAAAAAACATAAACCATATAATTTATATGTTATGATAATAAAAGACCATTACATACAGATACATTGATATAAATCTGTATTGGAGACTACATTACATTGATATTAATCTGTATTGGAGACTACATTACATTGATATTAATCTGTATTGGAGACTACATTACATTGATATTAATCTGTATTGGAGACTACATTTTCTCCCACTATACCAAATATCCTTACCTGAAAGAGAATTCCATCAAAATGATATCTTAGATGTCAGATATATTTTATTCTTTCTCCAAATTTTTGTTTTGTTCTGTCTAAGTATACTGTATATAGCCGGTGCTATGGGCTGTCTTAAACTTGTAGTGAGGTGAGAGTTTTTTACTCCGTGTTGAGGTCTCACTATGACTTTGAGATGAAGAACAGCAATACAAGCCCTGTTCCTTTGCTTATTGTGTTTTTTTTTGCTTTGCATGTACTGATTTTGTGTCATGGATGGATACCCCATATCCTTTGTTTTTCTATTATATATATTACATAAAGTGGAAATAAAGCATATAATCAATTCTGCTTTTTCATTTTAGCATAACACTTGGTGGATTTGGTGTTGATAGATTCTATTTAGGCCTTTGGAAGGAAGGAATAGGTAAACTGTTCAGTTTTGGAGGACTTGGTGTTTGGACTTTAGTAGATGTTATTTTAATAGCAATTGGATATGTTGGGCCATCCGATGGATCATTGTACATATAATATCATTTCACTTTTTTATTAAAATATCTTTTTTTACACAGAATTGTTTGCGTTGCTGCTTTTAAAAACCATCTTGAATGATCAGATTACCTTCCTGAAGGTGTTAATGTGCCATAATGAAAATATATTGATGTTGTCACATGTCTAGAATTGGTAGTTTTTATTCTCATTTATAACATACCTTATTATAGAATTCTATTGATAAATTTAGAAATTATTAAGATACTAAAGGTTCCAACTCCTTCAGTTGATCTTTGATGAATGTTGACGTAGACCCAAGGTCTTATTTTGTATTTACACCCTTGACTTATTAGTAATCAATTGGTCATTGAAGTTACAGATTCTTTAACATAACAAACTAAAAAAATTGTCCCCTGGTTTGACTTTGCATTTCTGTTCTTCAGGACTGACACTTTGGTTTTGATATTTTTCTTAATTTAATGTATAACTGACTGATTCTTTTTGGAGTATTTAAAATGTTATAAAATAATATGAAAGAAAGACTGCTAACCCTTTCGAAGCACCTGAGATCACCCCCCAGATTTGTTTGGTTTTGTGTTGCTCAGTCTTTGGTAGCAATACACAGTTAGGAAAAAAACTTAAAATTGACACTCATAATTTTTAAACATCCTCTTTCCCTTCCTTTCTAACAAATAAGGCTTAATATTTGTGTTATGCATGTGTATATTTATAGAAAGAGAATCTTCCATAGATTTGATTTCTAATGGTTATAATGGTGAAAATAATCTCTTTTGGGTGTAACCATGACAACAATCTGCATTTCTTTGATACAAATTATTGCATAAAAGGGGGGTGAACATGTCACAAAAGTCTCCAAAATTTGGTCCGAAGGAAAATTTCAATCAATTACAGTGATACCTTTCCTGAATCCATAGACATATATCTATCAAGAGGTCCAAAAAAAATCATATGCATTTCTGCTCGTTTTTCCATAAAATTGAATTGAAAAGATCGAGCGCAAAATCTTTGTTGATAAATACTACAATAATTTATGAACCTATGAGCGGTACGGATAGGAAAATACGGACTGTCAAACAGAAAAATTGCCTATAAAACATGCTAAAAACAATCTAAATGTTCATATAAACCCACTAAGAAGGCTATATTATTCTTCAATTATCTAAAAATCTATTTTATTGTACAAAAACTTTCATATTTAAAAAATTCACCATGGCCATAATGTGAAACTAAACTTCTAACTGTGTATTGCTACCTTTAGTTGTCTATTTTGTGTTTTGTAAACCTGTTTGTCTTTTGTTGTTTTTGTTTTTATACGACCGCATATATTGGTATCATGTTGACGTTGGTGGCGGCGGCGACAGCATCGTCCGAAGACATTTGGTTTCCGGACAATAACTTTAGTTTAAGTGTATGGATCTCTATGAAATTTAACCAAAAGGTTCAATACCAAAAAAGGAAGGTGGGATTGTTTTTGGGGGTGATGGTCCCAACTGTTTAGGAATTAGGGGCCAAAAAGGGGCCAAAACAAGCATTTTTCTAGTTTTCAGACAATAACTTGTGTTTAAGTGTATGGATGTCTCTTAATTTGTACCACATTTTACAAAAAGAAAATTTCTTCAAAATTAATTTTTAAACTAGTTGCAGGACAATAACTTGTGTATAAGTATTTTGATTGCTCTGAAATCGTTCCATAAGGTTCAATACCACAAGTAGAAGGTTGGGATTCATTGGTAAAAAAATTTGTTTGGGGGGGGCAATTTTTTTTCCTCATTTTTCCTCAAGATTTAAGAAATTGTCAATTTTCCAAAGAAAAAAATTGGGGGTCACAATAATTTTGCTAATTCTTTGTATATAGTCTGAAAACAGATTTACTAATTATTGCACAACAGCACAGTGTATTGCACAACAGCAAGAAATCTTCAATTGAATATAAATTCAAATCATACAACAAATTTCAAGTTCTTTGACACATTTATTCTGTGTCAGAAACCTATAATGTGTCAAATATTCAATTACAATCCAAATTCAGACCTGTATCAAGCTTGAATATTGTGTCCATTTTTTCCCCCCAACTGTTCAGGGTTGGAACTCTGCGGTTGTATCCAGCTGCGCTCGGCGAAGCAGTTTATTTTGCCATGGCATTGTTAGTTTGTTTCGACTTAGGAGTTAGAATACCCCTTCGGTAACTTCTGCATACCTCTTCAGTAACTTCTGCATCTCTATCATAATGATCATGAGGCACTGATTTAATCAAAATTATTATTATACCCCCGCTTTAAAAAAGTGGGGGTATACTGTTTTACCTCTGTCCGTCCTTCCGTCAGTCCATCCGTCAGTCCATCCATCCGTCAGTCAGTCCGTCCGTCCCATGAATATTTTCGTCATATTTTTCTCATGGAACTACTTGACAAGGATTTCTGAAATTTGGTTTTAGGGTTTTATATAAGTAAGTTACACAGTGTGATGTGTTTTCAGATTCATCACTCAACAACTTCCTGTTTACTGAACACTTGTATTATTTTACACATGATAGCCAAGTTGAAAATTTTCGTCACATTTTTCTCAGGAACTACTTGACAAGGATTTCTGAAATTTAGTTTCAGGGTTTATATAAGTTAGTTACACCGTGTGATGCGTTTTCAGATTCATCACTCAACAACTTCCTGTTTACCGAACACTTGTATTATTTTACACATGATAGCCAAGTTGAAAATTTTCGTCACATTTTTCTCAGGAACTACTTGACAAGGATTTCTGAAATTTAGTTTCAGGGTTTATATAAGTTAGTTACACCGTGTGATGCGTTTTCAGATTCATCACTCAACAACTTCCTGTTTACCGAACACTTGTATTATTTTACACATGATAGCCAAGTTGAAAATTTTCGTCACATTTTTCTCAGGAACTACTTGACAAGGATTTCTGAAATTTGGTTTCAGGGTTTATATAAGTAAGTTACACCGTGTGATGCGTTTTCAGATTCATCACTCAACAACTTCCTGTTTACCGAAATATTTCGGCGGGGTTTCATCAGTGAGCAGTAGCTTACAGTTTTTCTTCTTGTACTTAAGGAGATCCTGATTTTTTTTTGTAAATATCAAAATATACCCCAAAAAAAGACAATATCCTGAAATATTTCAGAACCTCTACAATTCGATTCAGGACCTACATCATTCTTGAAATCAAATTATGGAGGTCCTGAAATATTTCGGGAGGTCATCAGTGATTTATGGATATTATGAATTTGAATTATGGAGGTCCTGACATATTTCAGAATCTCCTTAAATACAATAATTTTGACCAAATCCGTGGTTCATAAATGATTGGACATAACATTTTTCAATACCAATATATGTTAGATATCTTTAATCTTCTTCCAAACAATTCATTAATAGACAACTTTTGGATAATTTTTTTGGACAGTTAGGCTATCAAGGATAAAATCTAGTTCAGGTGATCAAATTTTTATTTTAGAGCAAATAAACAAAATACCACCGCATATGTGTCTGTGTGGTTTTCGATCTTTACTCAATGAATTAAATTGTCATAAGTGTGGGCTAGAAGTTAATAGCAAAAGAAAAAAAAAAAAAAATATATTAAGATTAAAATGTGTTACAATTAAGCAATAAATATTATAATAATAATAATTTTTAAAAACCTATAGCTAGTAGCACTATTATAATGATAATAAACAGTACGTATGCAAATTAAGTGTAAATATTTACAACTGAGAATATTATTGGTAGAAATAATGAAATATTTTTGAGTTAGTTGAATTTAAAGTGTCAAAGAGTACATATATTGCAGTTAAACTATTTTTTTCACTGCCAAAAAAATTTACGAGTGAATATGAGCAAAATAAAGAGAACCACTATTAACAGATTCCGAACAATAGACTCCCCTGAATGAAATGGTGCCATATTATAAGTTCTGTCATAATATAGGTTCCAAGAAAGAAATATTTTGAAATATTATTTCCACTGGTATTACAGTATTTGTTCCTTAAGGAATAATGTAAGGGTTGGAAATATTTGTTTTAACAGGATTACAGGAACATATATTATGGCATTATTTATAACAAAATGTCAAAGGTAACTTCTGTTAGGCAGAACACATGTACGTTGACAGTGGAAAAGCATAAAAAGTTACCTTTCAGTAAACTCTCCATGGCAATGTTGTAACCAATAGTGCTTAAGAGAGGATTTGAGATACAAATTAAGCATCACAAAATTAATCCTGAAGTTAAGACCATCCAAAGACACCTAAATTGGTGTCCTAAGACTGCTTTGATAAACAGGCCCAATACCTATTCACGATTTACTTAACACTATAATTTGTGTTGAAATTAGTGTATAATACAGAAAAATCTTAAATTTCGCAGCTACTAAAATCAGTTAATGGCATCTATAAATAAACTGTTAACACAGAGATATGTCTCGCCTATTTGTTATTTTGATAATGCAAATGTTGAAATTAAAATAGCAATACTTTAACATGTAAGTTATGCAAATATTCAAAGTCAATGAACCATGACTGAAGGTACAGGGCTAAATAATCTCCATGGAAATGAGATGTGCCAATGTTAATACAACTGCAAACCAAATACCATTGTCTTTTTCGTAAGTCGTTCCCTTTAAACAAACCTAAACACAAACATTAACTTGTAAACTATGTAAAAGTTTCAAAGTCAATGAACCATAATTAGGGGGTGGGGTTATATAATCTCCATGGAAATGAAACTTGCAAATGCCAATACATTTGCATACCAAATATCATTGACTTTACATTAGTGGTTCATCTTAAACTGACCTAATCACTAACTAATACATGAAAACTAAGCAAAAATTTCAAAGTCAATAGACCTTGACTGAGGGGGCGAGGCCAAATAATCTCCATGGAAATGAGATATGCCAATGCTTATACAACTGCATACCAAATATCATTGACCTATCACTAGTGGTTCCCCATAAACTGACCTAATCACAAACTAATACATGTAAACTAAGCAAAGTTTCAAAGTCAATAGACCTTGACTGAGGGGGAGGGGCTAAAT